AAAACCCAAAGATGCTCAGTACCATAAACGCCGAAGAAATCGGAATGTTGCAAATAGCACACCAAACCAAAGCAAGTCAGTCAGTAGCTGAAGGAAAAGGACTTGAAGAAGCAATTGCTAATCGTCAAGCACACTTTTCTTTGACCACAAGGAACTCTAAAGGAAGACAGTGCTACAATGAAGATGACCATGTAACGGTGGAGATCATTGACGAACAAGGACGCGAATGCGCAACGGAATTGGAAATAATTGACAATGAGGATGGACTCTATAAAATCAGTTACTCTCCCAGAAATGAAGGAAGATATAAAGTGGCGATAAAGGTAAACGAGGTATATGGGCACGGTAGTCAATTTATTGTCCGCGCTAAACCATTTCAGTTAAAACCTGTTTCAGCTTTTGGAGAGCAGGGTTCGTCGGTTGGAAAGTTTTCTTGTCCTTGGGGGGTTGCCGTGAACGCTAACGACGAGATCGCTGTAACTGATCAATTCAACAACAGAGTTCAAATTTTCAGTAGTGAAGGAAATTTTTTAAGATCATTTGGTAAGAAGGGTGACATGGTCGGAGAATTCAACATTCCTCGGGGAATAACATTTCATAATAATGGCAATATTTTTGTAAAAGACAGTTTAAATCATAGAATTCAGATTTTTAGCGGAGAGGGTAAGTTCGTGGGAAGTTTTGGTGGGGAAGGAGACCTTGATAGTCAGCTTGATAATTCCTTCGGTCTGTCTGTAGACAGTGAGGGGAATATAATTGTTGCAGACGCAGGTAACAAACTGATCAAGATATTTTCTCCAGATGGCAAGTTTCTGATGAAGATAGGTGAAGAGGGCTCTTTTACTCTTCCTATGCACTGTATTCAGTATGATAGATATCTCATAGTGTCAGACCATAGTGATCATTGTATCAAAGTTTTTGACAGGAAGGGTAAGTTTCAGTACAAGTTTGGAGAGAGGGGAGCTGGGGACGGGGAGTTTTCTTTTCCAGAATGTTTGTCAGTGAACAAGTCAGGACAAGTTATGGTCTGTGACTCAGGCAATTGTAGAATACAAGTCTTTGAACTAAATGGAAAGTTTGTTGGTAAGTTTGGAACACAAGGTAAAAATTTAGGAGAATTCACTTATCCAAGTGCACTAGCCGTTCTCAGTACAGGGAGAGTTGTTGTTGCCGATGCTTGTAACAATCGCATTCAGATAATTGAGTAGTCCATGTTCGCTCTGGTTTGACTTATTTTGAGCAGAGTGAAATTCAACCTCTTTCGACATAAATTAATTGAGTTTTATGTAAAATTAAGAAATGAATAGAAATAAAGCAAAAGGAAAGAAATAAAAAGAAACTCTTTAGAGCACATATTCGTTAACTTTTGGCAGAGTGGTAGGACTGAAAAAAGGTTAATCAAATCCAATATGTACACCTGTGAAGCATTCCGATGGAAGCGTATTGCTACTGAGAATGTTATGTTTACAGAACTTTTAATATACATTTGGTATTCATTATTTTCACAAATGAGAGGTAGTGGTTATTCATTATGATTTGGTTCATGTACAATCATAACAAAAAATTACAGTCACTTCTTATGTTGAACAAAACTTTGTAATTTTTTAAATGGAATAAAGATTTGAAAATCTGTGGGCAAATTCTTTCTAAATAAAATAAACAAAACATGTAAGTTGTAGAAAGGTTATTCCAGAGAACTTAAAGCCCTTTTTAGTCGTGTATTTTGTAAGTGTCATGTCATGATCTTACAAATAACAAGGGTACTAAGATTTCTGTATATAGTAAGTATTTTAGGCAAAGATGATTTTTGAATAAGAGATTTAGGTGTTGACTGAATCAAACTAATATGTTGCAGTCAAACAGAAAATACATTGCACTTGATAAACCAAGGGCTGTATTAGCATGTGAAGAGCAGCCAAGTCATTGGTTAATTTTTTTATATGGACAGTTCAGAGAAAATGTGGATGGCTTTCAATTTTTTACCCAAAAACAGAACCTTATCTACAAACATTGTCATTAGCTATCAGCTGAGAATAGATATAACTTAAGAAAGGATTAGCCTGCCATTTCAAAATGGAAATCATTATCATTATTTTGTACTTTGAAATGTAAGCAGAATTCTTAGGATTGAACATATTCAGAAGAGTTTATATGGTAATGATCTCAGAACCCACATAATGCTTACATTCATATATAAAACTAAAATGAGGGGCTTGGAAATTGGAGGCCTGGCCATAAGACTGTTTTAAGTACAGCGGATTCATTTGAATTTATCTAGTTTTGTAGTAAATAAGAAGTACTGCACTTGTAAATAAGTAGCATTAATAAACACTTATTGAACTGAGTTTGTATAATACCATATCTTCTAAAAAAAATAAAGTGTGTCACTCAACTGTTTGACCTTTTGTATTTAATGAAGTTTTCATCATCATTATCATTGCCAATATTACTTTCTCATTATTATCTCCCATGAATGACTCCTTACAATATCAATACAATATCAAGCAGACAAGTGATGAGAAAAAAAAAATCAATTTTGAGATTGTTAATTGACCCAAAAACAAATTCTCCAAAGTAATGCCATATGAATTGTACTGCATAGAGTAAGGAGAATGAGTAATGAGATCTTAGGAGTGAAATGGTTTAAGAGGCATAACAAAAGCAATTTGCATTCCCAGATAAGAAAATTTATTTGAAAAACACAGTATAGAGAAACTAAAGCTACATGTACATGCAATATTTCCCTCACCAAATTAAATACCACTCCATAATTTCAAATGTACTTACTTTTGGCTTGTCTTTATCTTCCTCCTCCTCATTTTCTTCTTCGATAACAACTCCAAGATCAGGTTCTGGTGGGATTCCATAATACACCTTGCTCTTGTTGGCTGCAGTTAGAAAAGGAACATTTTCACTTCAAGTGTCAAAGAGTTTCCAAGGATAACTGGCTCTTCTATGTTGTAACCTGGGCTTGAAAACTACATTGTACCCTTCCACTTGTCTCTAGTGTAGTCCCTAAGCTCACCATTACACTGCCCTGCATAAGATTGCTAGTTTCAGGGTCCTAACGCAAGGACAGGAAAGTTCAGGAGGTGGAGAAGTTAATCCACAAAGCTTATAGATCAGGAAGGGAAAAGAGTTTATACGTGTGTATGTGCACTGCTTTGAGCTGAAGAACAGCAGTAGTTTAATGCCCAATAAAAACCAGCCAGACACAAGAGTTGGACTCCCTCCATGGAAGTTTGACCACAGACCCTGAATTTTTGCCCTCCTTCTCACTGGAAAATACCCAAAACAAACCACTTTTCATGGCACTAACAACCATTGCAGACCCTACTGCAGTTAGACAGGAAAAAAGGGAAAATATCTGTTGTGAATGATAAAAGGTTCGAATCAAATCTGTACATCTTTTTAGATTTTAGAGCAACTTTCTTAACAGAGAAAAAAACTTCTCAGTCCCTGGTTATCTAGAGAAAACCAATCCTTGACCCTTTAACTCCCAGAAGTGATTAGCATGTAACTTCTCCCAGTAATACATGTATCCATACATTATCTGGCAAACAAGTAAGGAAAATACTCAAACTTATCAGGTAGAAACACTCATCTTGATTTAACAGCAAATTCTCGTAACTAGTTTACAAGGAATTGTCTATCAGCTAGAGGAGAGAATCAACAATCAGATCTTGGGAGTTAAAGGGTTAAGTGTATGCTGGATTTTCCATAACCTTCAGCCTTGCCAAGATGGTGATATTCTTTCAAGGAAGTTCCTCATTGCTCATAAACTTTTATCTTCTTGTTGGTGTCCCTTACCCTCAAATGTTGCCTCCCCAGTCACTGCTCCTGCTGTTGCTTCAATTGTTTGCTTATTCCGTGGTCTTCCTTCAAAAACTAAAGAGAACACAAACAAAGATCAAATGTTAAGTTAGACCTTCAGCCGCTAAAATATGATTTGTAATTCTCCCTTCTAGCTGCTATACTCTTTTCTGGTAAATTAGTTAGGAAAATTTTCATTTGTGATTTTAAGATAAAACCCTTGAGCTGAAAATTTTGCTTCTTCCCTACAGCTAGGCTTGATTCCCACCATTTTCTTGAACTTTAGGGGGGAGGGAAGGGGGGTTGAACTCAAGCTCATTTCATGAACAGTGACTAGTAATAGAGCCCACTCATAACCTGCTGACTCAATATTGTATCAATTTAAAAGGCAAAAATAAAATTTAACCTCCTCTGAGAGAGGGCAACTGAACTAGATATAAATTACATAAAATAAATAAAAAACATCTCAGCACTGTCATAAAGAAATGAAGATGCAAGGGAATACTGTAACGAAACAGAGAATTCTGTGTAAAAGTTAAAATAAAATACAGTCTCCAAAGCCTAACAGACACCTTGAAATCTTACCATCAAAGTGAAGGTGTTGTTGAATCAAGGTAAGAAGCAATTCTTGCTGTTGATCCTGAGGAAAAAGATGAATAAAAACCCATAAAATGCAATTAATTTTCTCCTTACAATATCACTCAATACATTTTCAAGTAGAAAGGGAAACAGAGGAGAGAAAAATATTAACTTGGTGATTTTCTTTGATTCAGCACCAAATTCTCAGATCTAAAATAAAAAGTAATGTATGGCAAACAATGTGGAGAATTGATACTTCAATCTAGGGGGGTGTAAGGGTTAATAGTGTGCTGGTTTATCATTAATACTTCTGAGTGAAGAAAGGTATGGAAACTTTGAAGAAAGAGTATTTACAGGGAACTCAACACTTTCTCTACTGTAACAACCCAAGACCAAGGCTTAAACCTGAATTGCTTCATCTACAGATTTAAGTGTGCTAACCACTATCCTCATGTTCTCCAGAGTAGCCAACCATAAGAACATAATAGCCTAAATGAAACAGGTGAGTGCCTAAGGGGCATAAACATCTTTTCTATTTGCTTAAACTCATTGTTTCCTTTCCAGTTTAAATTTAATCTTTTTGAGCACATGTTTATCAAAATAGACCAAAATTTGAAATATTTTTCATATCAAGTCAGGTCTTGGACTGTTTTGTCCAGAAAGTAATGTAACCAGCCCCTCAGAAACGCGTAGCCTGAGAAAAAAAAAAGAAGGCAACCCCCAGCACTTCCGAAGAACACTGCTGGCCTAAAGAGTTTTCTCTATGTTGAGAAAATAGCATGTTATTTAAAGCATTGGGAGTCAATACCAACCGCAAGTTTTCTAAAAAATGTGACAGTACAAATTAACTGTACCTGCAAATGTTTCTTGAGTACTTGGTATGTGTCCTTTGACATTCTGATTACAAACTTATTGCTCCTGTTTGAAGTGATATACATTCAATGAATCAAAATGCATTCTCAATCCTGTTTGAGCAGGTGCACATTAAGTAATAGTTGTTACACTAAAAAAGCAATTTGTTGGTTGTATGTATGTAAACAACTTAGGAATTGAGAGTCGAGGATTGCAGATCAATTTTTTTGAGGGATTAGCACACAATCTGTTTCAATACCGTAAGGTTCCCATGAGCTCATTGCTTTTCATGTGTTCACGCCGTGTTATGGCTGCCAACTTGCTAAGGTCTTCTTCATGATAATCTTCCTGACTTCCTCGAAAACAGGCAAAAAAAGATTGTGCTGCAAAAAATATCAAGTAACAAAGTTTAATGGCAGCTATTTTTGGGCAAGGTGTTTAGAGAAAAGACCTCTCTCAATATGGTCTTAGAAATAAACCAGGAAAACTGGATCAGTAACACAAAGTCAAGTCTTGTCTGACTGGTAACCCTTTAACCTCCAAGATCTGATTGTTAATTCTCCCCTCTAGCTGCTACACATTTCCTTGTAAATTCCCAGATGGTGTTTGATATTAAAGGGAGAAGTTACATGTTAATCACTGCCAGGATTTATCAAGTTAAAAAAGATCCCTTCACATGATTAAAAGGAAGAAGAGTCCCTTCTACAGTTGTACAGGTTTAGAAAAACAGAAGTTGACCTATGAAAGAAGACTTTGTTTCCTTTTTAATATCATGATTTTTGGTCGGTAATTTTTGAGTAAGCCTTGAAACATGGCCTACTGTTTAATTAAGCATGCCAGTATTTCTGGCTTAATCATAACCATTACGATTTCTTCAAATGTCATTGGTACATTACAGTTGACATGGACATGAACAGTGTAATCAGACAGTTGGCTGTAATCAGACACCAGTAATCAGACAGTTGAAGCAGCCAATGGTACTAAGTGCACTCAGCGAAATCCACCCATCACAGAATTAATCTCAATAACTGTAGCAACAACCACTTATCCCAAAAAGACTGAGGAATTTCCAAAATGGAGAATTTTTTTTACTTTAGACATTGTCTCTACAGGAGATATTTGACCTAAACTTATTTGTTTTCTTTTTTATAAATTGTGATGAGTATGATGAATTCATGACACGACTTCTTGCCATCCAATTCTGTCTGTAATGTGATACTCATGATTAACAAATTGGACTCCCACTTTGTGGTCTTCCAAGTTTGTTGATCACTTGTATGATTACAGACCAAATTAGACTCCACTCAGTCCTATTATCATCATTAGGATGAGACATTGCAAGAATGGGCTATCAGAATAATCATAAAAAAACCTTACCCTCCTTCTCACTTCCCTTGTATACCAGTTCAAGATACATATGCACAAACATGGGATAAAGTACCATGGCTAACTCAGGCTAAAAAAGAAATTGAAAAATTAAAAGTCATTTTAAATTCCACATTAATACTCTAAATTAATTGACTGGCAGATCACACAAGTCAA